CTAAACCCAAAACCCTAAACCTATCCAGGCTCACCGGATCAGGGGACATCCCCAAAGATAGCCTACGAGGTTGAGAGGGGTTAGGGCTTACTGGGATTTCGGAATTTATTAGGCCTAGACCCCGGAACCCCAATCCGAGTTTAGGGCTTAAGGCTGAAATTATGCGGTCTTCAAGCCTCATCCGCACTCCATACACTCCATAAACAGCCTCCGAACTCGTTCGGCAGAAAAAAACGCAGTGGGGGTCCCAGATATGAAGGCTTCGCAAGTTGAATGCTGGGTGCAGGGGCCCCTCCTAGAACATGTGCTCAAATAGAAGTTTTTTGAAACGATGTTCAGAAACTGGCGTTGAGTGACCATGGGAGCGGAAAGTATATGGCAACAGGCTGGGCTTCTTAACAAAAGCCCATATAGGGATTACCATAAGAATCCATTTCTAGCGCCATTAAATCCAGGGTGATACTTACCAGGTGTCTACGTTATAGACTCCAAAGCCCCAAAAAGGGAGACTCGTATATTTATGTCGTCGGTGCTCCCAGGAGGCCATCACGAAGCTCTCCCGCAGCATCAAGACCATGGAGTCGCCTCTCAGCTCCAGTCGAAGGTTCTCTGGTTTAGGGGTTGGTGGGTTTAGGGTTTAGGGTCTAGGGGGGTTTAGGATTTAGGCATTATAGGGTTTTGAAGGGTCTATCTTCAGGGGGTTTTCAGGGTTCAGGGTTGAGAGGTAGAGGGATAGGATTCAGGGTCCATAGGGTTTGGGATACATAGGCGTATAGCTTTTATCTAGGTGACAATCTGGGAAGCGTTCAAATCTCACTGGTGCTTGTAACAGTTTATAACTTTATTTTGACTTCTAGAGAGACGCAGGTACGCTTAAGAGCCCAACGCATTCCTCGGGTTAAGCGATTGTTAGTTACATCGTCATGGAGCCAGCTAGGCTTGGGTGGGTGTGTCTGGGGACCTCAGTTTATTCTTATAATCATACTCGATAGGGACATCTTTGATCCACTTCCTGTAGCAGAACCGCAACCCCAAAGCCCCAACACCCTATCACGCGTGGTACCTTGATAATGGGGTCGAAACAACGCATACGAAAGCTTCCACCCGTACTCTCAATCCCACAACAAAGTAGGGCCAGGAGTGGCTTCAGTGGGTCTATCCATAGCCAGCACCGCCACGTTACTAACCCTAAGCCCTAAACCCGAAACCCTAAACCCGAAACACGCCCTAAAAAAGCCATAATCCACCACTCCGAGGAATCTGAAGGTTCGCCCCAAGCTGCAGAGCGAGTGCGAGCAGCCTCTCGCTTCAACTTGGTTTTAGGGTTTAGGGCCAGTTTAGGGTTCCATGAGGGTAGTTCTCTGAAAGTTGTTTCCGGCATCCTAATTAGAGAACTACCCCATGAGCTCCAAAGATAAGAGGTTTCGGGCTTTGGAGGTCTTCGAGGTTTTGTGGCTTGGCTACAAGGGGGCCTGAAAGCTGTACCTGGACTTGAGTATTTTTTGGCATTTGGGGGTGAGGGTGTAGAGGGCTAAACCCCGAAAACATAAGGACCTGGGCGCTTGAGGGCGATTGAGTTCCGGAGTTTATGGTGTCGGCCTTTACAGATTGAAGGTGATGGCAGGGCAAATTTCGAAGGCTTCTCGGGCTTCAGGAAATAGACTTAAACCCTAAACCCTAAATCCTAAACCCTAAAACCCTAAATCCTAAACCCTAAAACCCTAAATCCTAAACCCTAAAACCCTAAACCCTAAACCCTTAAGATGAGGGTTTAGGGGTTCGGGTGAAGACTCCAAGCCCTGACCTCGCTAGCTCGGGCGTCTTCCGTGCATCCTGCGCAGACTCAGCAAAACCCCTTTTTCAAAGGAGGTGGGGAGTTTAGGGTATATAGGGCTTCTATACGGCTTCGATAAGGTATGTAGACCTTCTAGAAGGCTCCTATAACAGTAACTACCCACCTGAAATGTCCTAGACTTTTGTGTGAAGGCGGCCACTTCTGAAGCATATTGGTCCGTTCTAGTGCATCACACATGTCCCTGAAGCTTCAGACTGTCTGTTGTCGAGGCTATGTGCTACGTAAGACGTTGGCCATCATTTCCTGCCTTAGGGCCTCACGAGGTGATGCCTCTTGACGAGAATGATTAGAACTGCCTTCTTGTGATCTAAGCACCACATTCCCCTCCCACATACTGAGGCTTACCCGCACCAACAACAGCCTCCAGCAAGAGTTGGACGGTCTCCGACAGCGCACCCAAGCTCTAGAGGCCTCCACGGTTGAGGTGGTCGTGTGGCTGTAGCTTCTATCTTGCCTTGGTTTCATCTCTTGTTGATGCAGCTGGTGCATGAGCGGAGTGTGGGAGCCTCTTGCAGCTTGTGGTTTCAGGATTTGTTGCTCTTGATGAGGGTTTTGTTGAAGCACAGGCCGCTTCGGCGCATTTTGGATTCTGGTATCCTGGACGTTGGGTCAAGCCTGTTCTCTCTATACCTTCCCTGTCGCTGCTACGCATCACCTAATGCCTAAAAACCCATGCCCTTACTTAGCCCTACACCCCGTTGGGTCCGTCCGTTCGGGTTTCGGCTTTAGAGCTCAAGACGCCGGCTCCGATAATGGACCCTGGCAC